TACATATATATATATGTTTGTATATATGCATATATGTATATATATATACATATATATATAATATATATGCATATATACGTACATATATACATACATACAGTATATACTCGCCTGAAAGTATGCTTGTATAAGTATGAGTATAAAAAAAACAGACAAGGTTATTTCTCTAGACTTCGGGCATTAAAGAATGCAGCATTATAGAGACTAAATCTTTATCGTCCTGGAATGCATGTTTACGAAAAATCAGTTTGAATTTTCCTGAACACCAAATCATGGGTTGAACAGTTCAGTAACCAAATTCTAATCTATTAAGCGCGTGTGTTTGCGTGAGAGAGAGAGAGAGAGAGAGAGAGAGAGAGAGAGAGAGAGAGAGAGAGAGAGAGAGAGAGAGAGAGACAGAGACAGAGACAGAAAAAGAATGAGAGCGAGTTGTGTATGTTGCAATACATATTTGCATAAGTGCATATAACCATGATCGCTTGTAATTTCAGTATGCGTGTATATGCTTGTGTGTGTGCGTGCGTGCGTGCTGGCATGCGTGTGCGTACATACCAGCATTTATGCAATTGCATATTTATTTATTATGCATTCATAAGTGAACAGACGTGTAATAAAACATACACACTTGCATTAGATTAAATATGCTTACATGTGCGTGTGTATATGTATATGCATACATACATACATATATATATATATATATATATATATATATATATATATATATATATATATATATATAAACATATGTGTGTATGTACTTATATTGTGCATGACTGTGTGTGTGTCTGCTAGTGATTATGTACATATATGCATATATATATTAACATATGCCCATGTGTGTATGTATATATATACATATCTATGAATGCAGAGTGCGGAAATGTCTATTATTATATTTTTCTTTTTTCAAGCCATATAAGGAAAGATCTTATCAAATAAACCACACCTTCTAATGGCATTGCTACCCAATATATGCGTTGATCTCACGATCCTTTTGTTTATAGAAAAGCTTGTGATAGTGTAAAAATGTAATTATTTCTGATTCCAGCTTTGTTTGATACAGTCGAAAACACTCAAAAGTCTTATTGACATCAAATGGAGTGTTATTTACAGTTCCATTGAATTATCATTTTGTTGGTATCCATTAAGCATTCTTTGTAGAGTCTGTCTGCTGTAGATGTCTTATCAAATATTTCACAGTTAAACTTTTTCATACCACAAAAGAAGATAAAGATAAAGGGAATGTCTATAGTTATATTTGAATAAGATTTTATTGGAAACGCACACACATACTCACATAATTTGTATAATCACACCAACTTTATATAAAAATATTGTTTGTATTTTTTGCAATTAATTATACTAAGCTCTGTAGACACATTCGGCCGTATGAGCAACGTCATTGAATAAGGCGAAGTCGACTCCGTTCTTGCGGAAGACGGAGGCGCACTTGTCGTTCGCTGGACCGGAAGTCTGTGGGGTGCGGGAGAAGACGAAGCCGAACTCGGACTTGTAGCCGTTCCAGTCGATGCAGGAATACACGCACGAGTACGTCTCGTAGTCAGTCTCGATCACTTCATAGGGAGCGGCGAAAACTGTCGATGAAAGAAAAATCGTTAGGTGGAGTTAGCTACACATATTAGTAATATAGCATTGGATTCCATAAAACATTAACATACCCGCAAGGATAAATGTTACGTACCGGTAGGGAAATCGATGAGCATGTGGGCAGCTGGGAAGTCCTTTGTTGGGTAGATCTTGCCCTGCAGTCTGAGGTACTCGTTGTTGGGGCTGAATCCAGCTGTGGTCACCTTAAAGCCGTAGTCAGAGTCAGAGTAGTCGTAGTTGGAGTGGATGCAGCGAGTGTATGGCTGATAGGCGTTGTCGATGATCTGGGTCTGATACCAGCGGCCGGAGTACTGTTGGGGAAAAAAGAAACAAGGTTGGAACATGTGCACAATTCATTCAGATTATGATAATATTAAGACCCACATAATGAATTATAATATACAGAAGACTACATGTATTTACCCTGCGAAGATCGAAACTTGTCTGGTTGGCCACTTTAGCGCATCTTCCAGGAACAACGAAGTCTGGAATGCCGTCAGCAGAGACAAGGGCCACGAGGGCAGCAGCGACGAGTGTGGTAAACATGATGCTTTCTCAGTTGTGCTGCTTGCAAGAGTACTTGGCGCTCTTATATCCTGTTTACGATGGGCGGAGCTATGGTCGTTCACCTCTGTTGTCAGTTTCTAATTATATTGCTTGATGTTTTCCTATTGCACAATTTACATTTCTTTCCCTGTGATTGCACACTGCTTCCACAAGAAGGTATTACTGATAAATTAAATGAGTTAACATTTTTGTTTTTGCGTCAGTTCACACTGCAAGCAAACAATCTGGAAACACCTTGAAACCTCATCGCCGGAGCTGCAACCAGGGTCGGATTATATAAGGCAGCAGCCTCTCTTGTTGTGGCACAAGTTGCATCCACTGATTGTGATCACCATGAATACATCTCTGTTCTTCCTTGCTGCTGTAGCAGCCGTCGCTGCTGACAAGATCCCCGACTTCGTCGTCCCAGGAAAATGTCCTGTTGTGGACGAGAAATCACTCTTCGACGAACAGATTCCTAATCATCCTAAGGTATGTTACAATTACGAAGAATTATTAATTATGCAATTATACGATTGGATATTTATAAGTAATTTAGCAATGCGATATCTACAAATACATTTAGTTCTTAGAAATATAGTGATTGTTTTGTTATTATTGTTATTATTATTTCAGTATGCTGGTGTTTGGTACGAAATTGCTCTCACAAACAACCCATACCAACTCCTCAAGCAATGCGTCCGCAACGAATATTCCTTTGGTAAGATGGATTTTCATTAAGTGGCACTTCTAATGTTAATTAAGTGGCTACTTGACGATATGTTATCTTATTTACTCATATTAACTTATCTAATAATAATAATTATATGTTACTAACTTACAGATGGAACAAATTCATCGCCAAGTCAACTGGCATCAACGCTGACGGTAACCTCATGAAGCGCAACGGCCAGATTCTCCCCATGCCTCTTGGGACCCTCACCTCTCCGTCGACTACGAAGGATGTGAGTGTTGAAAAAGGATTTCTGTTTTGTGCATTTATTGAACAAATATCGGAATGTCATTATCAATTCTTTGTCTTGATACTAACTATATCTTCCTTCCCTTTTCTAGCTTGGATCGCTCCCTATGTCATCCTCGACACGGATTACGAGAACTTCTCGTGCATCTACTCCTGCACCGAATACAACTTCGGATACTACTCCGACTTCTCCTTCATCTTCTCCCGCTCGCCAAGCCTTTCTGACCAATACCTGAGACGCTGCGAGGCCGCCTTTAGGGAGATCGGCGTCGACGTCTCTCGTTTCGCGAAGACAGTCCAGGGTTCTGACTGCCCTTATGACACCCAGAAATCTTTGTAGATACGCTTTAATTTTAAATATATATTAATAAATACAAATACACATACACGCATAAATATGTATGCAAGTACAATGAATATAACTTTGACACGATTTATCTTTTTATATATATATTAAAAAAAATCACTTACTCATTGCATTTTCTTTCCCTTTGTTTATTGGTAGACTGGTAGTAAACACCAATTTGCCAGGTATATCAAATCAGTCATTTTCAGTGAACTGTGTATGACATTAAGTAGACGAAAATGAGAATGTGTTGGTTTTAACTACACTGATGTAAAATTCCATAGCTTTATGGACAGTCAGATTCTATAAAGTGTCATATTGTACATCAAATATAGTTGGTCGAGATGATATCCCATACAGTTCTTATTGATAGCATAAAAAACTTAAAATATAATATATATATATATATATATATATATATATATATATATATATATATATATATATATATATATATATAAATCCGAGTAAGACCAGTATCTCCGAAGCATTCAACTCTCCTATGTATGTAGATATGAATACGCTGTTCTTGTGGAACTTGGATACTCATAATCACACACACACAAATACACATACACACACACATACATATATATACACAAATTATATGTATATATTATAAATATACATATATGTATATATGATATATACATATATGTATATATGTGTATATATATATACATATATGTATATATGTATAAATATACATATATGTAATATATATATGAATATATGTGCTTGTGCATATGTAATTATACCGATATATACATATGGTATGCATATGTATATATATATATGTGTGTGCTCTTGGGCTTGTGTGTTTATCTGTGTGTGCAAGTGTGTTTGTGCGTGCGTGCCTTCGTGTGCGTATATATGTGTGCTCGGGTACACACACACACACATATATATGTGTGTGTGTGTGTGTGCGTACACATATGTGTACTTGTATATATATATATATATATATGTATATATATATGTACACGTATATGTGTGTAAAATGTATTTTATATATAAATATACATACACACATATGTATACATATATATTATATAATGTGTTATATTTATATACCTATGATATATGATATGTATATATATATAAACATATATACATACATACACACATATATATTACATACACATATACACACACATATATACAGATATATACACATATGTATATATGTGTGTGTATCTATCTATATATCTATCTATCTGTATATATCCATATGTGTGTGTGCATATAAACATATATAATATATATGTATATATATATATATATATATATAATATATATATATATATATATATATATATATATATGTGTATATTTATACATATATATGGATGTGTATACGTATATATTATATATATATATATATATATATATATATATATATATATATATATATATATATATATATATATATATATATATATATATATATGTGTGTGTGTGTGTGTGTGTGTGTGTGTGTGTGTGTGTGTGTGTGTGTGTGTGTGTGTGTGTGTGTGTGTGTGTGTGTGTGTGTACATATATACATACATATAGTACATACCCGAAAGCATGTTTGCTGAGTTATTTCTCCAGACTTCGGGCATTAAAGAATGCAGCATTACAGATACTAAATCTTCATCGCCCTTGAATGAAGGTTTGCGAAAAATCGGTTTAAATTTTCTAAAACACTAAATCATGGGTTGGACAGTTCAGTGGCTCAAAACTTAAGTCTATCAAACGCGCGCGCGTGCGTGTGATGAGAGAGAGAGAGAGAGAGAGAGAGAGAGAGAGAGAGAGAGAGAGAGAGAGAGAGAGAGAGAGAGAGAGAGAGAGAGAGAGAGAGAGAGAGAATCGTGTATGTTGCAATCTATATTTATGTATAAGTGCATATAACTATGACCGCGAGGATTTCAGATGAATATGCATGTGGACAGTGCACACACACTCACACATATATATGTACATGTATATCCGTGTATATTGTGTGTGTGCGTGCATGCTGGCATGCGTGTGCGTACATACAGTATTATATATTAAACATTTATTTACTATGCATTATTATGAACAGAGAAGTCAATAAAAAACACAGATTAAACATACATATGCGTGTGTTTATGTTTATATATGTATATGTAACATATATATTATTATGTATATATATATATATATATATATATGTGTGTGTGTGTGTGTGTGTGTGTGTGTGTGTGTGTGTGTGTGTGTGTGTGTGTGTGTGCGTATATGTATATATATTGTATATATATACATATATATATTAACATATGCACATGTGCGTATCTATATATGCATTTGTATGTGTGCGTATATATGTGTGTGAGCGTGTGTATATTTATGTATATATACACACATGTTAACATAACCTATATATACACATATGTGTGTAAATGCATAGTGCGGAAATGTGTATTACACTTTTCTTATTTTATGAGGAAACTTCTTAATAAATCAACCACAACCTCTACTAGCATTGCTATTCAATCTATACACTGATCTCACGATCCTCTACAGTCTATAGAAAAGCTTGTGATGGTGCAAAAATGTAATTATTTCCGAGTTTAGTTTTGCTTCGTACAGTTGAAAACACTCAAAAGTCTTATTGATATTAAATGGACTTATTTACAATTCCTTTGAATTGTTGTTTTTGTATGTATCCATTAGGCATTCTCCTTGTAAAGAGTCTGCTGTAGATGTGTTTAAAATTTTACAGTTAAACTTTTCCGTATTTCTAAAGGAGCTATAGCCATAGGGAAAATCTCTAGTTATATTCAATTAAGATTTTATTGAAAACGCGCACACATACACACATAATTTGTATAATCACGTATCATCCTGATATAAAAATATATTTTTAATATTTGTAATAAAGTAAACTCTAAGCTCTGTAGACACATTCGGCTGTATGAGCAACGTCATTGAATAAGGCGAAGTCGACTCCGTTCTTGCGGAAGACGGAGGCGCACTTGTCGTTCGCTGGACCGGAAGTCTGTGGGGTGCGGGAGAAGACGAAGCCGAACTCGGACTTGTAGCCGTTCCAGTCGATGCAGGAATACACGCACGAATACGTCTCGTAGTCAGTCTCGATCACTTCATAGGGAGCGGCGAAAACTGTCGATGAAAGAAAAATCGTTAGGTGGAGTTAGCTACACATATTAGTAATATAGCATTGGATTCCACAAAACATTAACATACCCGCAAGGATAAGTGTTACACACGTACCGGTAGGAAAATCGATGAGCATGTGGGCAGCAGGGAAGTCCTTTGTTGGGTAGATCTTGCCCTGCAGTCTGAGGTACTCGTTGTTGGGGCTGAATCCAGCTGTGGTCACCTTAAAGCCGTAGTCAGAGTCAGAGTAGTCGTAGTTGGAGTGGATGCAGCGAGTGTATGGCTGATAGGCGTTGTCGATGATCTGAGTCTGATACCAGCGGCCGGAGTACTGTTGGGGAAAAAAGAAACAAGGTTTGAACATGTGCACAATTCATTCAGATTATGATAATATTAAGACCCACATAATAAATCATAATATACAGAAGACTACAAATATTTACCCTGCGAAGATCGAACTTGTCCTGGTTGGCCACTTTAGCGCATCTTCCAGGAACAACGAAGTCTGGAATGCCGTCAGCAGAGACAAGGGCCACGAGGGCAGCAGCGACGAGTGTGGTAAACATGATGATTTCTCAGTTGTGCTGCTTGCAAGAGTGCCTGGCGCTTTTATCCCGTTTTCTATGGGCGGAGCTATGGTCGTTCAACTCTGTTGTCAGTTTCGATTTATAATGTTCGCTTTATTTCTGTTGTATTATCTACGTTTCTTACTTTACGATTTCACACGTCTTCCTCAAGGTATTACTGACAAAATAAATGAGTTAACATGTTTGTTTTTGCGTCAGTTTACACTGCAAGCAAACAATCTGGAAACACTTTGAAACCTCATCGCCGGAGCTGCAACCAGGGTCGGATTATATAAGGCAGCAGCCTCTCTTGTTGGCACAAGTTGCATCCACTAATTGTGATCACCATGAATACATCTCTGTTCTTCCTTGCTGTTGTAGCAGCCGTCGCTGCTGACAAGATCCCCGACTTCGTCGTCCCAGGAAAATGTCCTGTTGTGGACGAGAAATCACTCTTCGACGAACAGATTCCTAATCATCCTAAGGTATGTTCAGTTATAAAGTATTTATCAATTATGCAGTTATACAAGTAAGTGTATTTAAGTAAATTCGTAATGCGCTATTTATAAATACATGAAGTTATTATAAATACAGTGATTTCTCTTTCCTATTTCAGTATGCTGGTGTTTGGTACGAAATTGCCCTCACAAACAACCCATACCAACTCCTCAAGCAGTGCGTCCGCAACGAATATTCCTTTGGTAAGATAGATTTTCATTAATGTTAATTAAGTGGCTACTTGACGATATGTAATCTGTTATTTACTCATATTAACTTATCTAATAATAATAATTATATGTTACTAACTTACAGATGGAAACAAATTCATCGCCAAGTCAACTGGCATCAACGCTGACGGTAACCTCATGAAGCGCAACGGCCAGATTCTCCCCATGCCTCTTGGAGACCCTCACCTCTCCGTCGACTACGAAGGATGTGAGTAGTACTCAAACTAATACTTTGTTCTGTGCATTTATTGAACAAGTATCGGAATGCTATTATCAATGATTTTTCCTGATATTAACTATATCTTCCTTCCCTTTTCTAGCTTGGATCGCTCCCTATGTCATCCTCGACACGGATTACGAGAACTTCTCGTGCATCTACTCCTGCACCGAATACAACTTCGGATACTACTCCGACTTCTCCTTCATCTTCTCCCGCTCGCCAAGCCTTTCTGACCAATACCTGAGACGCTGCGAGGCCGCCTTTAAGGAGATCGGTGTCGACGTCTCTCGTTTCGCGAAGACAGTCCAGGGTTCTGACTGCCCCTACGAGACCCAAAAATCCCTTTAAATATCGTTTTAGCTATATACAGACATACATACATGTATATACATATATGACGACAATATTTTGATATTGACATTGTTTTATGTTTTATAATAAAAAGATATTACATATTCATGATACTTTCTTTCCTTCTTTTATTCTT